TCTTACATAAAAGTTACAGTGAAGTCAAGCGTGCGATCAATGAATTCATGGGAAGGGATGAGTGGCGGACAGCACAGGAACAGTACAAATGGCTGCTCTTGAGCTGCGAAACGGTTCCCGTGTTTGCGAAGAATTATCTCAAATCAACGCTCGAGAAGAATACCGACCGTTCATTTCAGGCCCTCCTGTCCTCCAACCTAAACCCCAGTCTTACGCAATATTATGCGCTTAAACTTTATTATGATGTCGGATACTATGGTGTAGATCATGATCAGAGTCAAAGTGCAAATGCGACAAGTATTCAGAGTACTTGTTTAATAATGTGATAAAAGTTATACGATCATATTGTGATTTTATTGCGACAGGCATAAAATAAGTTTTAAAAAATTATTATAATATATAGATATAATATATATTAGATTTATATATTATATATTATATTAGACTTTGGATATGATATTAGAATATTCATGACACACAATATTTATTCAATTTTAACTGTAAATCTTATTTTATAATTTATAAGATTAATATACATTTATATACCATAATGCCAATTTTAAAAGAAATTTCGCAAATTAATTGCCAAATTGTAGCTAATGACTAGTATTTGAAAATATGTTTATTTATTTTATAGAAACAATATGAAATGTGTAATAATTCAATGATCTTGTCACTGAAATATACAATTTAAGAAATTTTTAAAAAATATTTAATGTTAAATCATAATATTCACAATTTTTCAAGCATTTAATATTTTTATATATTATAAAATTCTTTAGATTTACAATTATAAAAATACAATAATACTATTTTAATGTAATGTTACAGTAATGTATTATGTTTGCATTTACTAATAGTAATTTAATATACAATATATTATGATAATTTCATTTATTTGCTTTTAAAAGCAAATGACCTGTAATATGAAATTCAATTATCTGACCTCCAGACATTTATAAAATTAGTACACATTTTTAAATTTAAAATACTTATTTTTGCTACTAATCAAATTCTAAGCTACTCTAATTGAAACTGTTTTTAATATATAATAGTTTAAACAATGATAAAAAATTATTTAAATTTATAAGTTATAAATTTATTATGTATTAGAATATATTTTTATGGACTAATAAATATTGTGCTTTACTAAATAATCATATTTATAATGCTATAATAAAATAAATAAAACAAATAAATTATGTATTAATCTAACCCTAGTGTACAAGAATCACATTAAATAAGAGCACAGAATATTCTGTACGCGAGAATTCAATCGATTGAATTTCGTCGCACATATACAGACATTCAATACAGTAGTGGACAGGCGTTTCAAAGCGCATGTATGAATTTATCTCTATTACACGGAATATAAGTGTCATTGAGTTTCATATCAAGGGCTCAAACATGTAGTGGTTTTGCGTGTATTTTGTTTGCATTCTTGTAGTGTTTTTAGAGAATATTCATAGTATTGTTTATTCTGTAACGCAAAGCACCCAGCATAATTATCACCATGACTTTCACTATTTTGAGAAATCGTATCCAGCAAAGATTTTTGGATAGGCAGCTAAAAATCGATGACATCATAGTGTTTGATGAGGACTTACCGCCTAAAAAGGACTGTCGGCTCACATTTGTGGACTTCGCGCCTATAGTTAAAGTCAGATTAAGGACTGATAATAATGGCATAGAATCCGCAGAATTTAAGTAAATATTGTATAAATTATTGTAATATTTTTGCATAATAGTACTGTACCTAGGTGTATGTTTATGTTATTGAGTTTTATGATAGTGTATGTGTATTCCAGTAGCCTAATGCATTTATTATGGGTTGCCATGGGATACCGACCTACTGGCGCACATTCCATACTGTAATGATGTTTATCCAATTACTTAATTCTATGTGAATTGTTTTAGGTGAATTTTATTTTTATTTTAACTTGTTAATCATATTATTCCTGATAAATGCAGTAATATAGTCATTAGTAAAATGTTTAATAATAATTAAATATAATGTTTAAGAACACAGAATATTCTGTAAATAGTCTTTAAATTCATTAATAATACATAAACAAGTTTAAAAAATTATAACTTAAAATATATTTTACCCTGTTATTTAGTGAACTGGTTGACTTTGCCAACAAATGGCTGCTGGACAGGGAGGTATGGGATGTTGTATGTTGCGAGTCTATCGGCGCTATCATACAAATAAAGCTCACAGACAATGGTGTAGTTGAGGACAAGCGGGTGCTGACGACATACACCATAACAGAGGACAGCCATGATTTTCACGATGGAGTGACCCAATACGCGTTCTCGAGATCCAAGGAACCGGTAGATTTCAGGGTCAAAATGATCCGACTATGGATCCAACCGTTTGATAGCCGCGAGTACAACGAGAAGGTGCGGCCGATTGTACCGCAGATACAGTTCCGCGACTTTGAGCCCCGGATTCTGGACTCAAGGAATAATACGTTTGAGAGCATCGATGAGGTGGTGGCGCGACTTAACGGTGCCATTAATGCCGAAGAGATTACGGGAAAGGTGTTGAACGTCCAGACACTGGCCTGTAGTGCCACTCAGGACTGGAAGATCGACCCCCAGTCCACTCAGTCTAAGCCATGGGTGGGAAAGACTGTATTCGTGTTGAGAGTGTATTACGCGTTGGGACCCATACATGAGGAGGAGGTAGGTTTGGCTGATTTTGTGCCCGAGTGTCTGGTAGGGGGTGGTATGTTTAAGCGGCCGAAGTTTGAGTCCCAGTCCTGTTTATTACGGAAGGCCTCAAAATGGTTGTCCGAAAACCCGGAAATAAACTTTTGTAGTGCGATGTCATTGGATGTGAAACTCAAGTCAAGTAAATATAAAATCAATTTTAAAATATTTATAGTTTTTGTTAATATTTCTCATAATATACTCAATAGTGGTATCGATTGACACGAAACAGATGTCCGTCACGCGAGAGACCGGAGATTTCATACGAATCCTTCGCATAGCGTATACCAAACCCCGGGAGGTGTCGGCAGACATACCCATCAGCTCTACACTACCGCCGCCTCCGCCCGTATACCTCGAGCACCGGGTGT